TTTTCCTAGATTCATACTTCATACATTCCACATTCTGATTATTAGTGAATGTTTGCAGGCACCCCTCCCCCCACCTCCTTTATGTCTTTCCACATAAGCAAATTAAGGTCTCAAAAGCTGTACTCTATCTGTAACATTTAAGGTTGGCTTTACTTTGAGAAGACAGCTTTTCCCCAGTCATATTTTGAGTGCAGAGTGGTGAGCTTTAGTGTTGCGTATTTCACATATGCAATCATATGTGAAAGCAAAAGATGTCAGATTTAGTAGAAGTCACAATGTATTTAGTCGTTTTGATAGGCATAATTGCAAATGGTTGAGTGTATGTTGGAAAGGGAAGGTGATTCAAGTCGTCAAGCTAGTAAAACCATGTTATATCTTTTAAAATACAAAGAATGTTGGTTTTAAAATGAGTTATAACATTTCACAGGAAGCATTAAGAAAGGGAAACTGATGCATAGTCAAAAAAGTAGTCTTATAAAGTATAATTATTTATTACTATTCTCTAGTTAAAACAAATACTACATAATGACAAAGAAAAGGTATCATAATTTCAAAAGCAAATGTGTCATTATTTGCAGACTTGTAGAAAAGCTTTTGGGGGAAGAGAGACCTTGAATGTTTGAAGATGTAGCTCTGGGTAAGACTTTCATTGATCCACTTCAACAAATCCCCTAGAGCAGCTGTTTCCAAAATTTAGCTGTCCTTGGACTCACTAAATCTTGGGTGAGTGCCAAATATCTGCATTTTTAACAAGCTCCCAGGTGGTGCTGATGCTATTGGCCCAGGGACCAAATTTCAGAACCAAATCCTCAATTTGTTCCTGAGACTTGGCTCTAATCAAAGTTCTTTCCATTGTTTTCTTCTTCACACACAGCCCTCCCTAGGCTTTACTAGAATTCAGATAGCAACAAGGAAGCCCCCTGGCTCTTTCTGTGACAAAGTTTTTGCCCATAAGATCCAGGAAGATACACAAGAAGGTAATGTTAACTTGCCTATTTGCCCAAGATAGTTTTCTTTAGGGACTCTGGGAGGTTATTTAAAGTTTTCAGAACCGCAGGGCTTGAGTTTTCAAAATATCTTATTAAATAAGTGGCCAAAGCTATTGTCATAGTACGCTCTTAAAAAGTCTGCTCTCTAGGGAGTAAAGAGAGGATAAAATTGCAAGGAAACTTTCTGCCACTCAGTCTCCCTGAAGATAGTTGTGGAAACAGATGTATTGCTTTCTTTTAATTAGTTCTTTTTTCGTCTAATATCTTCAAGCACATGCAATCAACAAGATTTTTACCCTGGAGATTAGAGAAGTTCTCTCGTCTGTCTTTTAAAATGTCCCCCAGGATCACACATATTCATTAAGATACTGCCACAACACTTGCCTCTCTTTAACAAGGTTTAATTTCAAAGTTAGGAGCTTCTCCCTAAGGAATGTGTTACTGTTACAAGAAGTCTCAATAACCTTGGCACTCAGAATCCCACAATGACAAAAATTAAATGCGTTTTGGTTAAGCAATTCCAAAATCTCCATTGTGTTAAGTTTAAGAACCCCTAGTCTAGAATCTTGAGGACTAATATTAAAAATAGCATCTAAAATATTTCAGTCATTGTCTGTTATTTGATTATAGTAGTGAAAATATCATCTGAATTAAATCTCATGATACTACTGGTTTTTTTTGCTACTACATTTTTTCCTTTCTGCTACTCAAGTATTAGATATATAATATATAATATGTAATAGATATTATATAGATATATATACACACACACACATGTTTGCCTTCTTTGTCCCCCTCAGGAATGTAAGCTCTTTAGGGAGAGAGACTATTTATTTCTTCAAAATTTTGTGCCCGGCACATAGTAGATACTCCATAAACATTCCTACTACAAAAGAGTGTTTCAATAAATTGTTTGGAAGTCTAAGATTGAGAGAGAGTAAAGTAAAATGAACAGGATAGATATTCTCCCTACCTAATTAAATGTTTACAAGTATGCAATCCTTCTGCCAAACACTCTTAAGAAGCAGTTCCAATGACAGGTTTATTTTATGTAAGAATTAGTGCAGGAGCAATTCAGCACTTTGCGGGTTGTTTTGATCAGTCAGTCAATGCAAAAGGACAGAGCAGCAGGGCACACTTCTTAATGGTTTGCTGTATACTTAGGGAATTGATTTGTTTACTATGGATGACTAGGAAACATATAAAATATTGCTTTGTAAACATTTATGGAAGTTTTATACAATACCTGGAGCACAGCTTGACATCTCTAGCATTGGTGATGCCATGTGTTTAATACAACGTAAGCTTCCTCTGACCACGTGTTATCTTTTTAGTTCATGATTTTTGAAAATTGGATTAAGGTGATGAACTTATAATTTAATAAACTTACTTAAACCATTTCATTACAGAAGTGGATCAATTTCATGTTTTGTAAATTATAGCTTCATAAAGATATTAAAAACAAAGTTTTAAACAATTTAATTGGCACTTCATCCACATATTATACAATCCAACAATCCAATCAAATCAAGAAAGGTTGTACAATCCTTACTACAATTTTAGAACATCTTCCTTGTACTTATTGTTATTCGTGTAATTATTTCTTTTTAATTATGGCAAAAATATACACAATGAAACATTCTCCAATTCAACAACTTCTACATGTATAATTCAGTGTCTCTGATTCTACTCTTCATGCTTTAAAACCATTATTGATATCTTTTCTAATTATCAAAAATAAATCTTAGTAAGTTTTCCGTGCAATTACTGAAGGTGAGTTGAAAATATTTACCCTAATTTTTATACAATGGTGCCTAATACACATCTTTATGATTGTGTATAAACACTCCGAATTTCTACCTTTTATTTTTAACTTTTTTTATAACTCTTTGGTCTCCTTATTGGTTAGTACATGGTAGATAATAGACATACGATGGATTAATTTTAGTGGGTCCAAATGTAATGAAAACATATGAAACGAGTCTTTTCTCACTAACAAATTATGGGGGTTTTTTTCAGTAAATTGTTTCAAAATTTGGTTAGACTCCAAAATATCTTATTGTTTCATGACTTTTTAGGTATATCTCATAGTCTTTATCAACTGGGTTTCCTCAGAGGGTTCCCTTAATCTGTGTTCCCTCAGAAACAGAAACTGAGCCAAGAATTTGAGTGGAAGCAATTTACTTGAAGAAACAAGGAATATGAATTGAAAAGAAGAAAGCATGGAGGAAAATATCTCCAATAAAACTTATGTTAAATCAGCTACCATCATCAGCAAGCAGAGTTTTTAATCTTGTTGGAAAATGTGCAAAATCAGCACTTTAGAATTATCATGGTACGGTGGCATATATCACACTTTTCAATGAAGGATTGCTTCTGAAGGTCCGTACATAATTCCAGCTACTTCTGCCACTATGTACAGGTCAAAGTAGGTTGCAGCTGCTGTTTTCAATCAGCAGTCAGACAATTCTACACGGAAAATTGTTACAGGATCCTAGGGAATGTGGAAGAAACATTGGCAAGTTCCATTACTCCATCTTTTACTGTAAAGTCTCAACTATACAGATACAATTCTTAAACAGTAAAGTTCTGAATGCATTATGCAAGTGTGTAACTTCCATTCCACATGACACCTTCAGAGCATCTCAGAAAATTACATCATGTGAGGAAATAACTCTTACTGCATTGTATTTATTCTTAAATATTTTAGCATCAGAGGGCATAAGACTTAAACTGCAATGATAAGACATAAAGGTAAAATAAAATAAAAAGAAAATTTAAAGGATAAAGAGAGAGAAAGGACCACAAAGAAGGAGTCAACATCTCAAATTATCCTAGGCAGTACATTACCATGGGACATTTGAAAGAAAAAAAATCTATTAAATCTATCACATCATTAGTCTTATGAAAAGTATTATAGCAAAGTTCAGAGTATGGGCTCAATGTTAGGTTGACAGGTTTGAATCTATCCTGATCAGACTCTACCTCCGGAAAGTGGATTAAATTAGATAAACTTCAAAGAAATACTTTCCTGCTTACATAAAATGACTTCTGTTAAGTAATAACCATAGCTAGATGTGGAAAGCACCTGGTTATGAATATGGCATGGTTTTATTTTAGTCTTTCCATGAAAGCACACATAACCAAATTAAGGTGAAAAGCATCGATGTTTGAAAGATTAACCTTTGGAAAATCATGTCAACCTCAGCCATGATAAATGCAATTCAAAGATTGAAATATTGGGATGGTTGTAGCAAAACTGACTAAAGAAAATAGCCTTCAGGAAAAAGGATAGAACTATGACATAGACACTTGGATTCCATGTATGTATCTTAAATAGAGGAGGAGATTCAAACAAGAATACAGGATAAAATATTCCAAAGCTTCAAGAAGCAATTATGTTACTGAACTCCATTTTACAGACAAATAAGGCAATATCCCTGCACATTAGCTTTTTGATAATTTTCATACATTTTTTCCTATAGTTCAAGAGAAAAATAACCAGAGCTCACAATGTAAAGTTCTTACACTATTTTTACAGTTTGTGAACACTATACACCCTTCTGTTTTAATAAAGATACATTGTAATAAACTCATTGTCCATAAGTTTATAGTTTATAATAATCTATGATTAATACACTAAAATTGCCTTTTTTTTAATGTGGTCATCCACACAATAGAATGGTCAGATTTTAGCTCCTGTACAGTCAGAATTACTTTTTATCTCCATTTGCATAATGGCAATGTGACTATCCTTTTGCCTGCAGGTCAGTTGTAATAAATCTAGGATGTGATGAAAAAAAAGAAAGAAAGAAAGAAAATAGCCTATGGACAGCATTTAGGAAATGTGAATTAAAATCAATGACTAGGGCAAGAGTAGGAAAACAATGATATGAAACAAGTAGAAAGCTAAATCATAGGGTATGCTTTGGAAAAAGACTAAATAATCAGGATATTTAAATTTATGACATTTAGCTTGGAGACTACAAAGTCCACTTCGCCCAGTGACCATTATGGACAAGCAAATGCTCTACTAAGGAACCGTGCCAGGGCTCTTTTCACATCCTTGTTCCTGAGACTATAGATGAAAGGGTTCAGCATGGGTGTGACCACAGTGAACATGACTGATGCAATAGCGCTTTCCTGGGAGGAATGAGTCACAGCAGAACTGAGGTAGACCCCAAGGCTTGTCCCATAGTATAAGGAGACCACAGAAACATGAGATCCACAGGTGGAAAATGCCTTATACTTGCCCCTAGCAGAAGCTATTTTCATTAAAGAAGAGACAATCTTAGAGTAAGAAAAGAGAATCCCAGTGAAGGGAAACATACTTAGCAGGGCAGTTGCTATATACAAAAAGATGTTATTGATGAGGGTATCGGAACAGGCCAGTTTGATCATTAGAGCCAGATCACAAAAGAAATGTGGAATTTCAGTGCCTATACAGAAAGTCAGCCGGTTCATCAGTAGAATATGAAGCAAGGAGACCCAAAATATGATGACCCAAGATAGCAGAACGGAGAAGCCACAAAGCCGGGGATTCATGATAACTGCGTAGTGCAAGGGGTGACAGATAGCTACAAACCGGTCATAGGCCATCACAGTCAGGAGAAAATTGTCCAGGCCAGCAAAAATCATGAAGAAATACACCTGAGTGAGGCATCCCATGTAAGAGATGTCTTTGCTCCGTGTCCGGATGTTCGCCAGCATCTTTGGGACTGTGGTGGTGATGAAACAAATGTCAACAAAGGACAGGTTGGAAAGGAAGAAGTACATGGGGGTGTGAAGGTGAGGATCAGAGCTAATGGCCAGGATGATGAGCAGATTCCCAAGTACAGTGACCAGGTACATAGCCAGAAAGAGTCCAAAGAAGAGCGACTGAAGTTCAGGATTTTGTGAGAGGCCAAGCAGGAAGAACTGGGAAAATTTTGTTTTGTTTTCTGATTCCATGTAGCTGGGGGGTAAGACGGTGAAGAAAATAAAAACAATATTAATTGAATATCAACTGACACTATTTCTAGTCATCATCTTTATAATTTTACCACCTGTATTTTATTACTGTCCTTCTAGTGGCAATGTATTTCTTCAGTCTAGGTATTTCATTTCTATTTAAATATGTATTGTCCTTCAAACTCATTAATTTAGCAGAAGTGCCTCTGTATCTAGCTTCAATTCATGGGTGTTATTTGAATCTATGCACATAAACCAAATTGCACTTGGATAGGACCCTTCCAAGATAATTGGATATATATTATGCGAATTTCCAAGTATTTTCTTTCCCTATAAGTCTGCAAACCTCCTTCATTCTGGTACCTCTATTAGTGATTAAATGTATTCTGAATAGAACATGCACACTTTAAAATTTGACCTGATACTTCCTATCGATGTGACTCTTGGTGACTTAATGTTTTTCTTTTAAACTATTGGTCTATTGCCATAGCATTCTTTGGGACGTTTCAAATTCCTGGGTGAACAGGATTATCTCAATTCATAAGAGCTATGTTTATCTACCCGTTTTATGACCATTATTATATATATATAATTCTCACAAATACAGTGTAAAGCTGTGATTTAAAAGTAGATAGTGTCTGGAATAAAAAAGAAGTCAATAGTGCTTGTAATATAAGTTTGGCTCTACTTTCTCACTGCAGTGTGATTTGCAATATTTATTAAGGTTCCTTTAGCCGAGAATACCTTAGTTCTATAGTGAGAAGAATAACTATTATTTATAGAATGAGAATGGTAAGTGAAATAAATGAGAAGCTGCATGTTCTTTTTAAAGTGTGTTCTTTGTGGCATGTAGTGGCCACTTGATAATTCTGAGCTGTTATCTTTTTCATTACAATAAATCTCTTTCATGGCTATTGTTTAGATTATCCCTGTTAACCTAGAGCAGCCATCAAGAGCCTATATTAGTCCAATATCCCTCTTTTAACAGTGTTTTAAAAAATTAGTACTAGGGGCTAATCAATGACAATATTAATGGAAGATCATTATGCTTCAGGGAATTTGTCAATAAGACTCTTTATCATAAATTAGCAAGGAGGTCTCTAAAGGGATTCAAAGGCAGATAAAAAAAATGATCCATGAATGGGTTTGGGGCTTACACTAAATCATAGCTCCAATTAAAGAACAATTAATTATTAACTCATGACCTTGCTTGATAGAGCAAGAGTTCCTAGAGGGGCAGTGGGGGAGGCTAGCAAGGGGGAGCTGATATCAAGGAGTTCAAGCAGGAAGAGAATGTTCTAAAAATGGATTTTGGTAACAAGAAGTGTACAATACTGCTTGGTGTGATTGAACTATAGGTATGATATGATATCTGTATTGTCTCCCAATAAAATGGTTTTGAACAAGAAATAAAGAAGAGCAAGATGATATGACAAGAAATAAAATCTGCATATATATATGTATGTGTGTGTGTGTATATATATATATATATATATATATATATCTGTTATCATTACAAACACAATGGTTCCATGACCTCGTTTGACCTCCATGCAGCACTTCTTGTGAATCCCTAATTCAAAGACTACTTGCCAGATGAGTTCTTCCAAGAAGAGGAACTATGAACTATGTACATAATTGACGAAAATAAGAGCATACAACCATTAGAATCCAATATAAAGTCTGTGTGTGCTCATGTGTGCATGCTCTTGAGGGAGGATGTGTTGTATTAAAATCAGTGGAGTAAGTAAAAAACAATGTGATGGATGGATTGAATTGAAAATAGTAAAATCCTCTTTAAGGCAAAATGTACTAAAGAAAATTAAAAGTCGAACTTCAGATTTTAAAAATAAATCTCTGCGATTTCAATTAAAAAAAATAGTATTCCCTGTATTTAAAAGTATAATTAATTTTAGGGAAAATGTGCCTTACACAGTTGCCTATAAAAAGTGCTCTTCATACTCGCAGCTTCACTCTTACTGTTGTATGCAATGTTTACTATCATGCAAATAAGCTTAGGTAAATGAAATTAATAGATCGCCTTAGAAATTATGCAATTAATGTGAAAATAATTGATGTTTGCAATGTGTCTTCCTTTGGTTTACAATTAATTTTAAAGCTACATCTGTATCAAATTTCTGTATAAAGGTGTGTTTCTGTTTTATGAGTTTATGGCTATGAAAACACCAGGTATTTTGTTACAGCTGGCTATTTTTATAAGTGTATCCCAATTTTCTTTATGCAGAAATGTCCTCATTAGGAGTGGTTATTGACTGTAACTACACAATTAAACTTGTTTGTATGGCAGAAAATATATAATTAATTTAAAAGATAAAAAAGATCATTAAAGCTATACAATGTAGGCTACGGAGATGAGTCAAAATGGTTTCTCTAAAATTGGATTCTTTGGACTAAGAGAAGAAGAATCGGTCATTTTCCATCAGTGGGAGGAAGTATAGGACAAGCATAATAACTTAGAGAACAGAAGAAAATTGCCTTGTGGTGCAGTGAACTTGGTAATGGAAGGGATCTGAGAGGCCAGTAAGATGGAGGTCTAGGAGTTAGAAAAGCCAAGCTTGTAAGGCCCACAGAGCATCTGGGTGTTATTTCTTTTATGTTTATTTGTAAGTCGCAGATTGTGACTTTGTTGACCAACATTGTTTTCACCTAGTGTAGAATGGTTCTTTTAAAACAACAGCCAACATGATAATGTGCATTAAAACACTAACATCAAAAAACAAAACCTTTTTTTAAAACAAAATAAACTCACTACCATTAAGTCAATGCTGACTCATAGCGTCCCTCCTGCGGGTTTATGAGACTGTAACTGTATATGTGAGCGCAAAGCCCAGACTTTCTCCCGCAGAGATGTTGGTGGTTTCAAACTGCCCTCTATGCAGATTGCAGCCTAACTCGTAATCACATCACCAACATTAACATACTTGTGTTGAGTTCATGAATAAGCCACTTGCATCATTTTTCTTATATATTAAAACTAAAGAGTGCAAGTATTATTAGTACGTTGACTGGCTATTAGAAAGCTATTTAGAAATGAACTTTTCATTTGGACCAGAAATGGGGAATATAAAACCCAATCACATTAGAAACAAAATAGACAATACCTCCTATGTAATAGATGTTCACCAAGTAGGTTATGGATAAATTACTGGATGTAGAATATCTACCAGAAATCTGCAGTTTGTAGAAGAGAGTGGAGACATGATGTTTGGAGAGAGAAGGGAGATAAAATGTCAAAACAGGTTGAGTCAGAATTTTTCTGGAAAACAACACATTGAAGAAATAATCATTTCCAGCTCTTCTTGGAGAGAGGCTCTAGATTTCAGAAAGACTAAAAAGGAACAGAATGAATTTTAGAAAACACTATGTATTTGAAAAAGGACTTTCCAAGCAGAGACATCAGCTTCAAAAACAAATATGGGAAGTGTCAGCCTCCTTACCAGAGAGAGTTGAGACACAGTGCACCCTTTTCCTTCTTATTCCACAAGCCTGGAAACACTCACACTAACTCTTTCTGATGGTCTCCATGAAGCTGTTGCTCTGCTCCTTGTTCTTTCTCTGGGAATCCCAATTTGGTTTTCACCTAGGCTTGGATCAAGTATTTACAGGGAGAAGGACAATGAGAACATTTTAAGCGTTCTCCAAGTCTCGGGGGGTTTAATCTCAGAACTCTTCATTAGATAAATCGTTATATTTTCTTTCACCCTCTAAACAATTCTGCTCCCTTAGGTACAAAGAAGATAAAATAGAAAATGTTCTGCCAAGTTTCGAAGTTATGGAAGTGGGTAGGATGAGAATGGTTTATTTTATTCTAGGAGGAATTCTTCTATCTTTTGGGTTCAGTTAACATAAAAAACTACCCCCTAAGGAAAGATATCTTCTACAGAGAGCCCAAACTAGAAACCATCACTCATAGAGTAAAATTTAACCCTGTAATGTGTGTTTACCTTAAAGAATATATGGAGATTTTATGGACCACTTGTTCTCAGGTTATGAAGGCAAAGAAGTCCTGTTTAAATAAATAGAAACTTACCGATAGTTTTCACACTGTTAGAGAACTAAGAAGTCAAGGTCTGAAAAATATATTTTGACATACACATAGTGAGATGGAAGTCTTTGTTCACTTTCATATGGGCTTCATTTATGTTTTGGTTCCCTAAAACACAAAATAAACTGAACCAACCAACCAATCATCCACACACCCACACAAAATTCACTGGTACCAAGTCAATCCCGACTCATAGGGAGCCTATAGAATAGAAACCCTGTAGAAATGGGTTTTCAAGGTTGTTGATCTGTGGCAACAGAAAGTCTCTTTTTGTCCACACAGAGAAACTAGTGGTTTTAAGATGTGGGCCTCTTCTGGGTAGGGGGATTGCTGGGTCTTATGGTAGCTCAATTTTTATCTCTTTTAGATATCACCAAGTCAATTTCCATAATGGCTGTACATACCTACAGGTCCATCAACAGTGAATGAGAGTTCCTATCTTACCACAGCCCCTCCAACACTTGATACTTTCTGGTTTTTTGAGTTGAGCTTACTTTGAGAGTGTTCAGTGGTATCTCATAGTTGCATTTCTTTTATGTCTTATGATCAGTAACATTTTCTCATATGCTTATTGGCCATTCGAATTTCTGCCCTTGTAAACTTCTGATCAGGTCCTTTGCCCAAGTCCCCAAAAGTCTACTGGTTTTTTTTCTTATTGTAAGATAGCAGAGTATTGTAGATTTTAGTAATAAGGCCTTTGTCAGCTGTGTCATTGTTAAAGATGTTTTCCCTGTCCATGGGCTCTCTTATTACTCTCTTGGTGAATGCTTTCAATGTACACAGGTGTTTTATCTTCAGTATATCCAACTTGTCAATTTGTACCTCCTCTGTTTGTGTCCTTCTCTATTTCTGATAGCCTGTGAATTCCATGCACCAAAGTTTTCAGGTTTATCCCAATCCCCACATTGATAGCCCTAATAGTTTGGGGTGTTACCGCAAGGTCTGTGATCCATCTTGAATTTTTTTTCTTCTGAAT